GTTAACAGTTAATGTCCATTTAATTTAGTTTTCCAAGTTAAAATAGGCTCAAATGCTAAAATTGGTCAGAAATCGACATTTAAGTTAAACAATCCCACAAGGAGTCAATTGATGGTTTCTGTTATCTGGTATTTTCGTAAATCTTGTATTGCTGATAATTTTTGCTATTTATGCATTATCAGTTTTTATCTATTATAACTATCAAGATAAACGGTAAGATGTTAGTGTGGTAAAAAAATTGAAAGGCAATAACATCTTTTTATCTTACCTCCTATAGATTTCTGGGGATACGATTGGTTAAAGGACTACACGTGGTGACTACATATATTGGTATAGGATGTCCTAAAAATATGGGGTTAGTTACCATATGGGGTTAGTTACCAATTGGGGTTAGTAAAGAGTTACTTCCCTTTCAAAACAAAAAAGAAATCTGAAAGGTTTCATCAGACTAAGAAATTGATAATGAACGATTGAAATAAATTCATACAACAAATTTAAAGCTAACAAGTTGTTATTGTTGGCATTTTTTTTTTGTATAGACAAATGGAAGTAGGCTCTTAATACTAAGTATTGAAGACTTAATCACTTTAATAGGCCGCTAGTCTAAATACCACATGTGAAGATAGTCGGTAAGATAAATTGGTTACACGGTGTGCTAGTGACCTAATACGATATATATGGGTCAGTAAATTCCATATGTGGATTCGAGCTTCACTCTCACCCCATATGGAATTTACTGACCCAAATATATCGTATTAGGTCACTAACACACCATGTAACTAATAATATTGGAAGTCAATATACGGTTTCATTCATTTTGGAATATTAGTAGATCTTGTATTATTTGTTATATTTTTCTGTTTACAATTTCTGTCTATCTCTTAATGTTTTCATGGTAAAAGGAAAAACATCGCTATAATTGGGTAGAAATTGTCTTTCAACAGCAATACTCATATAAAAAGTCGTCTTATGAATTAGATAGAGATTGCCAGTATGAAGCTGACTTTCTTCTAGTATGATTACCCTGCGATATTTTCTCTATCTATATGTTTTATGGTTTTGAAGATAATGGTCAATTATACAACCATTTTATCCCTATTTGCTATAAATATTAAGTAGTTGGGGCCATTACAAGGAATTCTATGAGCAAAATTGAAAACTATACACGACGAGGATGAGTGCGACCAAGTTTGGTTTTAATTGACCTAGTGGTTTCAGTGATAATATTTCAACGCTTAGGATAGTACAAACTAGCATTTGGGGTCAGATGAGCTAAAATGGTCATTTGAAAAATTAACCGTAAATCTTTGTTTATATACAATGATTCAACTGAATCCTCTTTGATGAAACAAAGCTTATGCAGTCTACTCATCACCGATGACTGAAAATTATATCGACTTATGCAATATATATACTATAAAACGGTGGCTTCTACTTTTGTCATGGTATGCTTCCTCAGTGGGATAAGCGGTGCGTCGAGAACAATAGAAAAATTACTCTTCTCCAGGTTAAGGTTTAAAAGTTATTTGTCTTGTTTTCGTCGCTAACCATACTGTTATTACATTATTTTGAAATTACAATAATATCTGTTTTCTTTGTTATCTGTGAAACTGGTATTCGAAATATATATATGCAAACACACAATTGTCTTTTTATAATGATTTATCAAAAAAAGAATGTCATAGAAGGTTGTAATATTGATATTTTACAGAAATTAATCATAAACAAATATTGATATCGTTTAATCATCAACAAAAGCGCCACGTCATGACAAAATGTGAAATGATTCAATCGACAAAACCAATGTCCTGATGTATGACAAAACATTTCAAGAAAAAAATATAGGACCGACATGAACCAACGATAACTATTGTACCACAGGCGCCTGCCTTGGGACGGTCATATAAAGAATGTGGGTTAAACATATGTGTGAGCGCTCAACCCTCCACCTTACCCGGAACAGTGGTGTAACAGCACAACATACTTTAAAAATCAGTTCGGTAGGAGGCACACAAAAACCTTCCCTAAAAAAAGAATAGACACAATTCTGTAATTAAGCTTACAAATTAAATTGATTTCCCCCGTGGTCATCAAATATGGCTCCCCCTGCTACTTACGATAAAGCGTTTGGACGATAAATACAATATTGAAAAAGTATGATAAAAATACCGAACTTCAATATATATTAAAAAAAGGGGAAGTCAATAAAAACCCAATAAATCAAACGATATCAACCAACGGAACGAATGAAAAACAACTGTCAGATATAGAGTAAATACCTTATTCAAAAATTTAAGTATTAAGTTTGGAAAACTGAATGTAAAAAAAAAGTAGGACATTTAGTTAACTTGGCCTTATTTTTGAACATCAGTTATTAAAGTATGATAAATTGTATACGGTTTTGCAATATGATTAAAAGGCCTCGGTGGAAGCATCCTCGCCTCGAGTACAGGAGGTCCTGGGTTCAATTCCCAACCAGGTCAAACCAATGCCTTAAGCGTGTCGGTCTAGAAAAAACAGGGTTCAATTATATGAAGGCGCATTGCATTAGTGCCAACTTTGAAATCTACAGTATTTCATTCGCGCCGAAAAATATATACTTATTTTCCGTTATATTTCAAGTAAAATTAATAATGACGATTGATATTAAATTAACATATTTTCCTGATATGCATGTAATATTTATCACTCGATGTTAAACACCAATCCAATATCACCATCATCATATAATATGATGGAACTATTTTCGAATTTATTTCATATGCAATCTAATAGACATTACAGTCGATTTGTATTACTTTTAATTATATTTTCCTGAAATAAACAATGATGACAATATATCACCATTACCAGGAAGCTTATATCGAAAGTCATTTGAGATACATTGTAATTAACTGTTTTGTTTAAACTCAAATTTCAAAGGAGTTCCAAGTAGCTCTGTAGGGTTGAATATAGCCATTATAGTTTCGACGAATATATATTTGTTTTGATAAATAAAGACGTAAATCAAAAACTAAATAATTTTGGGTCAAATAGAAATGATGTCCTTTTTGAAACTCGGCAGTAGCATATTGGAATAACTGGCTCATCCCGCCACATTATATATGTTCCTGTCCCAAGTCAGGAGCATGTAGTTCAGTGGTTGTCGTTGGTTCATGTCTGTCAAATTTGTTTTTCGTAAATTGTCTTGTTATAAATTAGATCGTTAGTTTTTTCAATTAAATTATTTTATATTTTTCATGTCGTGGCCTGATACGGTCTGGGTTTTTCTCATTGTTGAAGGCCATACGGTTGCCTATAATTGCATACATCCACTTCATTTGAACTTTGGTGGATAATTGTCTCATTGGCAATCATTTCACATCTCCTTAGTTTTATCATATTCAGGTCCCTATAATATATTTTGCGATATTTACTCATTATCAGTTTAGGGAAAGAAACTATGTGCGGGCGCATTATATTTCCGCTAATTTTAGAATATGCAATTTTATTTGAGATTTTAAAATATGTAATTTTATTTGCGCCACAAGTTTATATTTTATTTACGCCAAAAAAATAAATACTTTTTTTTTGTTATTTTTTAGGTCACATAAATATAGACGATTAAAGTTTCAATGCATAAGTTGAATCCCAAGTATAAGGCTCACATAAGAAATTTTGTAGAGTAATTCCTGAGTATTTAAGTGAGTTCATACTTATTTTTCATACACAAGTGAAAGTCACTTAGATATAAAATTAAGAGTGATCACAGTGCTTCCCGGGTGAGTTTGCAAGAAGGGCATAATTCAATATGAGAAAAAAAAAGAAAATAAAGCCGTCTTTTTTATACAGATAATCTAGTGTTTTGAAGTATAGATACAAGTCTCATAGGTGCAACGATTGATTGATTGTTGGTTGCTTAACGTCCGATGGCAAATATCTCATGCATGTTCAAGACGCATATATGCAAAGAAGAATTACTATGACAATAGAGGGGGGCACACATAATTTTTATATAGTTTTATTTTGCAAACCAGACCTGTTTAGATATTGTGTTTAAACCTAAAATATTAATTTTCAGAACTTATCCTTCTCAGTATCGTCGAGAACGGAATAGATTAATTGAAAGGAAATAATATAAACATGTTAATACTATTTATACTATTCACCTTTATAATTTGTGCAAATATCCGATAATTAAATGGCTCAAATGAAAGATTTTTTGTCGGTAATAAATTGCCAACAAATGCAAAATACCTCTATGTGCACCTTGATGAACACAAGCTAGTCCATAATATAGAAAGCAACAGTGACCATTCCCGATTATTATTATATCCCCCATATGAAATCAAGAGCGCTTTAACGTGATATTATCTTTAAACACGAGGCTTTGCTTTCTGACGTAATATTCATTTTCACCTTTTGTGAGTCTCGCTCATGTTTATTGATCAAATTAAGTTTTACTATTGTACTAAAATCAGGAGAAGTGGTATGATTGCCAATGAAAAAAAAGTCCACCAGAGTTCAAATGACATGAATATACGCAATTACAGGTCACGTAAGTGACAATGAGAAAAATCCATACCGTATAGTCAGCTATAAAAGGCCTCGACGAAAAGTGAAACAATTCAAATGAGAAAAGTTCATACCGTATAGTCAGCTATAAAAGGCCTCGACGAAATGTGAAACGATTCAAATGAGAAAAATCCATATCGTATAGTCAGATATAAAAGGCCTCGACGAAAATGTGGAACAATTCAAATGAGAAAACTACCGGCCTTTATATAGTTTTGTATCCTGCAATTTTTTTGCTGAAATATTCTTTTTTATTCTGTTCTTGACAAGGCTATTTATTTTCAGTTCTTATCTGGCAAGAATGTTCTTTTTTCAAAATTCCTAACATCATAATGTTTTGCGCTCTAAATTTTCGTCTTTGGACATGCTAGTAATTTTGAAAAGATCCACCAATGCATAAATCGTAAACAAATTAAATTGGGATGTGAAATAATGGAATAATCTTTCTATTTGTATATCGTCTTTTATTAAATTTTATTACTTATACACCATTTTTAGTATATATACATTGTATCTTTCACGACATGAGAATGAATCAGGAGTATTCAGTGTTTAACGTTTTTTCGCCATTTTTGTTGAAATCAAAGTATTTCCTTTCAAAGTTAAACACATCATAATCATCTTCGAACATTTCAAAAATCACATCTTGAAATTTTGTATCGTTGTAATATTGTAACAATTTGTCCCCTGCGTTTTGAGCATGTGACCGTGATTTTTTTTCACTTTCTTTAGAATCGAGCCAATTTTTCACGGTATCGTTCCATGCTCCGATTTTTGTTAACAACTTTTCTGTAAAGGTAGACATATTTGTCATTTTTCCAATCATCATGTTCTTATAGAAATACTTTGGTGCCCTTACCTGTGATTCCCAATGTGCATTGTAACATTGTTTTGCAAGTTCTAAAAATTCCGAAAATGTTTTCACAGTACGTTTAAAATTGACCATCATAAAGCCATTGTTCAAACCTTTGTCTAGATAACATGATAGTATCCGCTCTCTAGGTTCTCTCACAAATACTGCTTTTGTCCAGGAATCATTATACATCATCGATACAATATCCCTATCTTTAAAGTTAATAAGATACTGCAATCCATTTACAGAGGGGTTATGCATATCGTCATGCTTCAGTCCCTGTATGAATTGAAGGAGACTTTTCCAGTAACTGCAGCCTGATTTTTCGTTCCAAAAGAATATCAATTTATATTTCATTACTACAATAGGAGAATTATACCAGGTTCTTTTGATTTGTTTCAATTCGTCGTCTGTAAGGCTCGGAACACTTCTGTTTGAATGAACATTTTCAATATTTCTGTTAGATTTCGTGCTTACAGATACCGTGCTCACAAAAGACATCGTTTGTATGTATGTTATCCTCTGAGCTGTGGAATATTTTGTAGAAATATTTGTTCCATTTACGTATGACTTTTCTGATATAGCTAAATTTGTAACTAAAATGGGATAAACACTGTCCCCATATGCAACCAACATGTAAAGAATTACAACAATGACACAAAATATGGCCGACGGTACGAGTCGCAAACTGAAAAATTGTTTCATAGTTCTATAAATATGAACGGTCTTTCAAGAAATCTGCATCTTAAAGGATGGTTTTACGTACTTTACATTCTCATATAATTGACATCTGGTTGAAAAGAATGGATAATCAATATTTCACAAACATGAAAAGGTTATAGATTTTGGGGGTAGATAAAATATATAATAAATCTGATATATTTCATATCAGAACGTACAATGTGACATAATCAATTAAAACATATATCGTTTTACTTGTTGCGGGGTACCGATCAATTCAGACTTTGGTTATAAGCTGTCTTTTTATCAATTTTTAGTTTTTAAACAAGAGGCTCTCAAGAACCTGAATCGCTCACCTGTAATTTGTTGCTTAAATCTTTCATCGATGATTATTTTTGCTTTTCAATATATATTAATGAGTGGCTTAACAATGCCATTTAAATGTTCTCTGTATCTGTCATATTTTCTTCAAAAGCAAAAAAATGCATTTTACCCGTATGTTCCATTTTAGCCATAGTGGCTATGTTTCTTGACGTACAAGGAAATAAAATACAAAATTTATACAAGATACTCTGAAACTCATTCAGTTCAAGTTTGGCTGAAATTGATTTAGCAGTTTCAAAGGAGAAGATTTTTAAAAGTAAGCAAACTAGATTAGATGAACAAATTGTGAAAAATTGTCTTTAAAGAACAATAACTCCTTAAGGGGTCAATTGACAATTTTGGTCATATTAAACTTATTTGTAAATCTTACTTTGCTGAACATTTTTGCTGTTTACAGTTTATCTTTATCTATAATAATATTCAAGATAATAACCAAAAACTGCAAAATGTCCTTAAAATCATCAATTTAGGGGCAATCATCTAAAAATCAGATACCCGATTGGGCTGATAATGTCAGGACAGGTAGACCTTGACCTAATGAATACTTTAACGTCTTGTCTGATTTGCTCTACATGCTTATGATTTTGAGATATAAGTCAAAAACTGCATTTTACCTTATGTTCTATTTTTAGCCATGGTGGCCATGTTTTCTGAGGAAACAAAAAATAAAAGACAAACTTTATTCTAAATAACGTAAGAATCATTCAGCTTATGTTTTGTTTAATTTGGTTCAGTAGTTTCAGAGGAGAAGATTTTTTAAAGTTAGAAAACATGATAAACAAATTGTGTAAACTTGTCCTTGAAGGGCAATAACTCCTTAAGGGGTCAATTGACAATTTAGGTCATATAAAACTTATCTGTAGATCTTACTTTGTCGAACATTTTTGCTTTTTACAGTTTATCTTTATTTATAATGATATTCAAGATAATAACCAAAAACTGCAAAATTTCCTTATAATTACCAATTAAGTGGCAGCAACGCAACAATGGGTTGTTAGATTCCTCCGAAAGTTTCAGTGCTGATAGAACTTGACCTAATGAACATTTATACCCTTGTCAGATTCGCTCTAAATGCTTTTGTTTTTGAGATATAAACCAAAAACTGCATTTTACCCCTATGTTCTATTTTTAGCCATAGCGGCCATGTTTTTTGACGAAACAAAAAATAAAACACAAACTTTTTTCTAGATACCCTAAGGATCATTCAGCTTAAGTTTGGTTGGAATTGGTTCAGTTGTTTCAGAGAAGAAGATGTTTGAAATAGGTTAACCGGGACGGACGACGACGACGGACGATGCCGGACGACGACGGACGCCAAGTGATGGCAAAAGCTCACAGTTCCTTACGAACGGTGAGTTTAAAAGTGCAAACAAAAAAGCAATAAATACCGTAAGTTGGAGAAAAAATTCGCAGAACACCATGGTCAAAAGAAAAGAAAGACAAACCAACAGTCCACAAAAAACTAATCGAGTATCTTAAAAGTTTACAATGGTTAACTGAAGTGCTCCTATAAAGGAACAGTAGCTCCTTATCCATTATTGACACCGTTGTGTTACCTCTGTTAGACACCAATGCTAAAAAAATCCGGTGATATGGCATCACAAAAATATCGGATCGGCAATATCTAAGCTAACTTTAAGTCGTAACTGCACAATCCGATTTGGACATCACCAAAATGAGAGTTATCACCGGATTTGTACTGACCATAAGTAACATAACGTGTGGAGCAGGATCTACTTACCCTTCCGGAGCACATGAGAACAAAACAATTTTTTAGTGGTTTTCGTGTTTCTTAGTCTTTAGGTTTTTTATGTATTTTTTATTGATTTGTTCGTCTTTTTTTCGCCTTTCGTATTTCGTCATGATGTTTTCTGATTCCTTTCGACTTATTAGTTTTGAATGTCCCCTATGTAAGACCCACATTTTTTAAAGACGTTGTTCGATTAACAAAATTATTTGTGATTGTTAAGAGTTGTCTTTTTCAGGAAGACATATGAAAACAAATGAAAAGTAAACAGATGATGGACCGAACCAAAGTTATTGAAAGAAAAACACCCGAGCTCCATCTGTGATCTGTCTTGTATTTCAAGGCTTCAAAATAGTGCTAGTACGCTTGCATGTACATGTATAACCGCAAATTTTTCAACTGTGTAAGTGTGTAACAATTCTCAATGGTATACTGGAAACAAAACAAAAAACACGACTTAACAAGGGCTACATGCTCCTGGAAGTATAAAAATTCAAAAAAAAAAAAGAAACCGAGATTGTTGTCAATATTCTCTTTAGAACCACTATAGACCGAAAAAAAATGTTTTTATGCATCTACCGAACATGAATTAGAGAGGAGTTTACCAGACTATGGATAAACCGTCAGGTTTAAGAGCACATACTTAATAGTTATTGCTAGAAATAAAACAAAAGTTATATATTTTCAAAAATAATTATTTAAAAGATATAATTCAAGATTTTAATTAAATCTATATATAGCACTGTTATGAAATAACAGCTTCATCCAGAGCCTAGAGATATAGAAACCCCTTATGGGTCCTTGCTTTGATTTAACTAGGTGTTTCAATGACCCTGGCTTACGCATAAGGTCAGCTTGAAGCACATGACTAATCACAATATTCACGAAAAGTTAAAAGGCATATCAAAGAGATTTAGTATAAAAGCATACATAAAAATATACATGCACTGTGGAGCAATATTTTGAAACTGTGTGCTTTAATATTATTATTAATATGCTCCCTCCCTTTTCTATTTCTAATCGCTTGTGAAAGTTTTAATAAATTCAAAGAAAAAGCACCTAAAATAAAATGCAACAACTTCTAAGTATATTCTTTATAAGGCACTTTCCGTGTTGAATTATTCTTGGAGTTCGGTATTTTTGATATTTTACTTTTTTCTATGCCTTCAATCTATACACGCTACATTTAAAACAAAGGAACCTCAAGTTATTATCCGGAAGCCATTAAAAAAAAATATTTTTCATAGCAGCAGTGTCCTTGAACTGTGACAATTTAAAATCAAATTTATATATACCCCATATCTATACGTTACGTTCCTATTAAGCCAAAATGAAAAGAAGGCGACATGGGTTAAGGTGGGATGAAAGGGGGAAGGGGAGGGGGGCGGCGTCTAAGTTCATCTACTGTATCACTATTATGTCCAGACTGAGGGTGAATTGCTAATCCGTCACGTAGCAGGTGCGTTCGACTCTTATCATAATCGACTAGGATTGTCAGTTTTCCGGTTATCAGCCTCTAGGCACTGGTTTCTGCCATCAATAAAAATTAACTTACCGCCACGAGATAACCAATAGGGATACATGTTGGCGTTAAACACCAACAATCAATCAATCGTAAAGCAAGGGAAACTAAAGTAACCATACGGAAAGCATTTTTCCAGAATATTCTTTTTGTTAAAAGCGACCTTGCAGTTTAACATATTGACCACAATATCAATAGGCTTGTTTTTCTTTTTTAAGTCCATATTTTTAAGTTTTGTTTCAATCAAGGAGACCGGAGGGAGGAAACAAGCAGCTTTATACTAATTAAGCTCCTGCTGAACTTGTATTTCGGAAAACACGAAAAAAGCAAGCATTCTATCTTAAAAGCTTCAAAAATCTATACGCAAACTTTCATATAACATAAAAATGGCAAAGTATATTTTCAAAATTTCACAATTCCAGAAAAGAACATAGAGGGATGTTCTTTGCACGAACACACCAATTGAAGTATACTGCATTGAAATAAAATAATCCATAACAATAGATTGAAGTAGAAAGATCCGGGATAAACGCCCAAAATTAATCTAGTACTGAATAAAATAAATGATATACATCTGTCACAAAATTTGTTATGTTTTTTTAGTCTGCAAATACACTATATGGTTATCTGCTACGTTTACATTCTTTAAACAATTTTATTGTGTAAAACATTAAATCTTGATAATAGAACAGATTTGTACTAACGTGCAATCTTTAGTCTGGAAGAACATGATTTATTTGTTAGTTGTAATTGTCTTTGAACTAATATTCAGTAGCTGCGAGTACTCTTATATCGGTGCTTTGTGTCTATCGTTTTTATGTGATTCGTACTGATCTTTGAGTAAAGACAATAGCAACTGATTTTTATAATTTGTTTATAGGTTATGCTGTTACACCCCTGTCCCAGTTAAAGGAGGGTTTAGCGCTCACAAACATATGTAACCACGTCACATACTTTATGTGCATGTCCCAAGTCAGAAGCCTGTAGTTCAGTGGTTATCGTTGGTTTATTGGCATTCATACACCGAATCCGTCCTTTAATCATCCATTAAATGAATTACTATGACTATTTGTTCATCGAATAAAAATCGTACTATCCAAGGCCGAAGGAAAATGAATTTTTGTGGGTGAAAATATCTATACATTTTGTATGATGCAAGGAATATGAGTTTTTACATATCTTGGAAAATATTAGAGAAAAGCATTTTGTTTTGTCACCTTGAGTTTATCATTACATGAAAGAAATCGTTTGTACATAATGAATTATGCATTACATGACATGTTCATATCTAATTATTGTTGAAAATAACTAACAAAGCCATGGCTAAAAAAGAAAAACATACCAAAAACAGTACACAAAACACAACATGGAATATCAAAGACGAGCAACACGAAACCCATCAAAACTGGGGTGATATCAGGTGCTCCAGAAGGGTAAGCAGATCCTGA